AGACCTCGTTGTAGTCAAGCCGCAAAACGGGCTGCTTGCCATAACCTTGGCATGCGCCAAGCGCGACGATTCAGTATGGGCTATCAAGCAAAGACCATTCATCTGGGTGAATCAATTCTGATTCAGGTGTGTAAAAAAAACCCTGACTGTTCATCGACGTTGTTAGGGCTATCATTTTATCTGATTGTTGGTTTCCGTGTTTTGCGTTTGCTGTTCCAAGTCTTACTTTTAGTTGATGCTGTATGAAGCAACTATACCGTCACCTTCAGTTTAGAACTTATGCGGTGAACGCTTGCGTCCAAAACTGCTCCGTTTGACCGTAAAATGACAATCGCGGGAAGCAGCCTTGTCAGCTCCAAAAACGCAGCTTGAGCGCCAGAAAGGCCAGACTTGAAAAAAAAAGAGATAAGACCAAGCAATAACGTGTTTCACAAACACGGCCCTTGAGAAGCCTTTCCTCAGATCTTCTTTTGGATTGCAACGACTTAAAAAGGCGCGATGCTCACCCTGGAGGTGCCAAAGTGTAGTTTGACTGACGGGGAAGAGCTGCCAAATCGTACTTCATCCACTACACTTGTGCTAAACGGTTGGGATTGTCGATGGTTAGAGTACGCCGAATCTTGGGCCACATGGGCCCCGCTTGCACGGATGGAGACGCAATTCCCAAATAGTCTCATTGTACAAGATGGCAATGTCACATGTTTAACAAGTGAAGATAAACAGCGGAAACCAACAATATTCAAGCAAACTGAACCGGGTATAGTAGCTCCATTTTAGATTGTGGGTTCCTCAATGACTCAAGTACGTCACCTTCATTGTGGGTGAGTTGCTTTATTCTATCCAATCACCTCACTATTGTGCCATGCAATACTATTGTGGATTGCACCGCCTGTTCATTTGACATTACTGGTATTGAAGCGCAAGCATATAAAAACTCCAAGCTAGCATGGAGTTCAGCTGCTTCTTGTTCAACGGAAAACCAAAAGGACAAGAACCATTTTGGGTGGTCCCCTTCAGCTCCAACAACGACACACCCAAATATGAATGCGTCTGCCAATGAAACCCCTCAGTTGAGCGAATCTTTTAGATCCAAGTACTCCTTCCTTTTGGTCCTAAAAGGTGAGCCGACAATCTGAAACTTGGCAACATACGACTGGCATCCAACATTTTTCAAGTTGATTCAATCTTCCGAAGGTGACCAAGGTGCGCCAAAACTGAGCCACTTGCAAAGGGCCGGATTGTCCATCGAAAGCGATGCCGAAGGCTCAAAAAGGGGTCAAAGTACGGAGGTGCGCTGAGGAGCCGCGGGTGTGCAAGGGCTCCATGCCCAAGACGAAGCCGAAGTCGATTTGGAAGAGCCGGCCGCTCCTGCGATCCAACCGACCCGTGGATGGTCATGGAGGAAGAGAATCGGCACCAACTTGGTTTTTTGGTGGTTGACTTGAAAGGAACCGGTAGAGGTATTTCTTTTTTGTTGCCTAGGCCTGTTTTCTTTCCCAGGCAGGTTTTGCACATCCCCGGCATTACCGGCATCACTTGCACCTGTTGGCTTAGGCTGCTGTTCTTTGGGGTTGGCTTGGAGCTGATTTGTGTTAGGTGTGCTGCTGGTGTAGCGCCGGGTTGCTTGCGGGTGTGGTTGATTGCTATTGAAGCGTTGCCCCAAACCACCAAAACCAATGCAACATGCAACGTAACCCTGATAGCCACCGCTAAACCAGGACACCTACAGTAACCTAGCCAAAAACCCCGTCCAAGTGAGGGTGGCAAGGGCGGGATGCGGCCAAACAGAGGGATACGGCCAACTGACCGACCGACCGACCGACACACCATGCAACCAACCAACCAACCAACCAACCAACCAATCAACCAATCATCCAACCAGCCAGCCAGCCAGCCCACAGGACATGGAAACCCCCACAACAGGATGGCCGGGAACTGAGTCCAACATACCCACAGCTCAGGAGAGAAGTTTGTTTCTGGTGTTCGCTGGCTTGGCCTCTTGTCCTGCCACGTAAGAGAATTTTAGAAACGGGGGGATTTCGACTGAGCGACGTGTTCCAACATCAATAGCTTGGTTAGTCCCCACCCGAACGTATCCATGAGGGGTCCCCTTAAACCATTGAAGCCCCCTCACAGTGCTTGGATGTTACTTTGGCCGCCCTTTCGGACTAAACCAAAGGGGGTACCGAATGAATGCACACCCAACCAGAATCCGGAGCAGCCAGTGAGCCAGTGCGGTCCCGGTGAGCATGATGTTGCCAGCATGGCGGTCTCCAAGACCCAGGACAAAGGACCTGAGCGGTTTCGCTTCGCATCTGGAACTGTATGACTACGCCTCATCTTGCCATTTTGAAAGTAGCAGTAAAAACCTGAGGCCTCAATCATCTATAATAGGTTGGCCTTCTTTCCAACAGGACCTCCGATGCTTGGGTTCCCATCCAAGATCTGAAGGGTGGGAGAGCGATGAATGGGGGGACGCCGTACGCGGACTCTCCTCCGTGACTATTCCGTTTTGGCGGTGTGGGATTTTGCACCAGGGATACGGATGCGGGTACGTATGCGGGCGTGGACTGGCCTGCGCTAGATTTACGTATGCAGAATGTATTTGACAAGAAACACAAGGCGCAATTTCCCTCATGTCTGTATAAGGAAATGAACTCTCGAAGGGCAACCGCGAGCCATTTGACGCGTGTGTTCTCAGAACAAACCCTGTGCCAAACTCTACCTGTTGGTTGCCGTCCCGGAATTTGTAATTTGTCCTTCCAAGCTGACGCGTGCATGTCGCACTTTATATATATAATAATAATATTAATTATTATTATTGTTATCATTATGATTATTATGATTATTATTATTAATATTATTGTAAATACTATTATTTCAATTATCATGGGGGGCTGGGGGGGAGGGAGGGGGGGGGGGGGAGCCCAAATAAGCCCTAAATAAGGCCTTATTAAGGGCTTATTTGGGCTCCTCCCCCTCCCTAGCCCCCATGAAATTATTATGTTATTATTACTATTATTGTTATTGTTATTGTTATCATTATCATTATCATTATCATTATTATTATTATTTGTTATTAGTATTATTATTATTATTATTAGTATTATTATTATTATTATTATTATTATTATATTATTATTATATTATTATTATATTATTGTATGATATTTATATTAGATGATTATTATTATCATTATTATTATCATTATCATTATCATTATTATTATTATTAGTATTATTATTATTAGTATTATTACTATTATTATTATTATTAGTAGTAGCATTATTAGTATACTTATTATTGTTATGTATTATTATTATTATTATTATTATTATTATTATTATTAGTATTATTAGTATTATTATTATTGTTCTTATTATTATTATTATTATCATCATCATTATTATTATTATTATTGTCATTATCATTATCATTATTATTATTATTATTATGATTATGATTATGATTATGATTATGATTATTATTATTATTATTATTATTATTATTATTATTATTATTAGTATTATTATTATTATTATTATTATTATTATTATTATTATTATTATATATATATATACACACACATAGCAATTATCGGCAGGCAATCATGAACTGGAACCGCCCTTGGTTGCCACCTTGCCCAGGTAACTTCTTGTTGAACCTCTGACCACCTGAAAAGCGGCGTTGGTGATCTGCTTTCGCCGCCTCATGGAAAGGTTCAAAGTGTGTGGCCTTGTCTTCGAATCATGCAACGGCACGCAACGAAACCGTCCACTAGTCTTTGATCAGCAAAGTGAGCATTCGATCATTCTGTGTCAGCAATGGATTGTGCGTCAACAGTGGGTGTCTCAAGCACTAGCCAAAGGATCATAGCCATCACACCCAAGTGTTTGGTCCATCCTCTGTTTGACAAGAACAAAAACAGCTCACGAAGGATAGCCACGCCAACCAAATATTGGTGTCACAAGTAAGCCACCTGCCAAGCAAACAAAATCAAGCGGGAGGTGGCCCCAGACCACGGCGACCGACCGCAAGTGGGCCGTGTACACCAAACAAGTGTCTTCATGGAGATGGTCGTTTGATCACGAAAAAAACAAACAGAAACAACTAGTTTGGGTCCCCCCAAACCGAAGAGCCAGCCTGTTTCCTCCGCCCAAACCAAAAAACTAATTCCAGGAGCATGACGGTAGATACCGCCGCCGTGAATGCCAGGACCTTTCGAGCCTTTGGCCTCAGAAGTCGCAAAGAGCCCCCCTGCTACTGTGACTTGGTAAGTCAAACATGTTCGACGAAATCGCTGGGGCGGATTTCGGAGTTGCTTTTTTGACCGGTTGAAAAAAGGGGGTTTGAGGTTGGCAAAAGCTGGAACGCGCTCCACCATTCCGGCGACACTGGGTGGCATCTCGAGGAAGGCAAATGTCGTGAAGGGAAACCACGCCCAAATTGAGACTCGTACCGTCGTACCCCTCTAGATTAGGTTGGGGGGGAACCTATCCTCTAAATATACATATATATATATATACTTCAGAGTTACAAGGCTTGTTACAAGGGCCAGGTAGTGCTACCCATCCTCCAGCGGCGCGAAGAACAGAGCTCAGGACCACTTCACGGCTGGAGCTGGACCTCCGACCTTTGCCCTACTAGGTGCCCAATGAGGTGGGGGCTCGCTCAAGGTCTTGTTTGGGCAAAAGGAATGGCGTTCATCAGGCTTACCGCTTTGGCAACGCCCGGACCTTCACAGCTCTGAAACCTTGCATGTCTGCCCTTTATGCCAAGCGCCTGATGTTAGAGCGAGCCATGCGTTTGTTCCTCGCTTAACCACTGTTCAATATGATTTCTCTGGTCTGGCGTGAGCACTCACGTGTTGCACAGGATGGAATCGTGTAGATCCACATGTTCCGCTCTTCGGGCGGTCTTGACCGCTTTCATGAGGTAGGCGCGTGGGCCCCTCGATCAAGAATCAAGACTGGCCTGTCCTCAGATCCCCTGCTAAAAGTTTCACGTTTCACTTTTGGTGGGTTACATGAAAACTCCCACCAAACCCTAAAAAGCCGAACAATCTAAGGAACCGGACGGCTGGAAAACCGCCAAGAAGAATCAAGAATCAAGCTGGGCCGAGCGTCAAGCTCGCGGCCTCATTCTTGGAGACCAGGTATTCCAAGAAGCGCTTGGCGCTCGTGGGCTCCCGAGGGTCTGTGGACCTGTCGAAGCTTCACTAAGGCAGGGGATGACATGGAACCCAAGCGGGTGCAGCCACTTGGCAAAAAAATACAAACACGTGATTCCATCTCAAGCAAGACACCAAAAAAGGCGTTCCGATTTGACCACGACACTTGAAACCACCCAAACATGTCTGTCCATCTCAAACACGACCGTCAAAAACCGAGGAACTGGGAGCTTCCACGTGTTTTTACTGCGCCTCTTGGCCAGGTCCTCTTTGCTTATCGCGTCTGGGACCATCTCCACCAGGTTGTGGCTGGGTGCGATAGGCACCACCGAGTAAGAGACCTGCGGACCGGGTCCTTGCAACTACTTGCTTGCTGTTCGGCAATACCTCCCCCCTGAAAAAAAAGAAAAAAAAGGAAGAAAACACTACAACTCACCAGCAGTGACAGATTCCAAACAAAAACCCACCTGGGGGAAATAAACCATATTATTGGGCAAGTTGAAGATGTATAAAGGGTGGTTCCTTGGATATTGCTATGTACATAAATGGAATCACTGGGTTGGACATCACAAAAAGATGTTTGAAAGAACAGGGGAACAGGTCGAGGTAAGACTCGCACAAGCACAACCGCCCAACAAACTTGAGCTTCGCTCACTGTGCCTTGGGGACTTGAAAGGTGGTGGTTCCCTTGAGCGTGAAGGATCCCCTCTGAACTGGGCTGCTGAAATGGACGGGGGGATCCCTGATGCTTACCCGTAAAGGGACACCGGTACAACGGAAGCCACTGCCATCTGACCTTGGAACTGGATTTGCTTGATTCCAAGCGAACAGCATCCGGGTGCCTTGAATCTGTGCAAAGCGGAGCTGGGCTGTCTTTTGCGAACACAAAGGGCTTGTCCTTGGGTTGTTTGTTGTACTTGGCTGGAAGCCAGCTGAACAACAAACAGGGACCCAGCACACACAAATTCACAACTACTGGGGAACCTTTCCTTTCAAAACGTGATGCTCGACACCTGTTCCATTTGCCTTGTTGGACAAACTAAAGAACGATCGGTTTCCCTTGTGCCTCTTGGTTTCCGGGATCACCCAAAAGCTCCAGTCCTGCAAACACCTGCGTGCTATTCCCCCTCTTCCGGCTCGGCCGAAGGGGCCTTCACATCTCCAGTCTCGAGGTTCTGCTCGCGCCGGATCTGCCGGATCTCTGGGTCTGCGTCGATCAGGAGGTTCCTCAGGCCAAATCCAAGAGTGCAACTCAAGGGCCAGGCGGCCCTTTGCTCTTTCAGGGACAAGCTCAGAGAAATCGACTCCGTGTTTGGCGGAACCAGGACATGTAGTGCAAGAAAGTAGTCTTTAGTGTCAAAAAGACCACCCTGCTCAGCCTTGCCCTTCTTGGGGAAACCAGGAAGCCCGCCATTCAAGGGACGTAGAACTTGTCCGGCCCCACTCACCAGGGACCTGAGAACTCTCTGAACACAAGACGAAGCGCGGACATCCGGCCTTGCTGGCCTTCAGACGTAAGGGGAAGGCTGCTGTGGTTCGTCGAGCTTAAACCAGTTTCAACTGGTGCCAAAACCAGGCACTCCTCCACAGCCAGGGTTTCCTTTTGGAGTCTGTTTGAAACGACCTGAAAAAAGAATTCCAACTTTGGCTGTGTGCTATGGTCACAACTTCTCTTTTATCCTGTTTTCGAAGCTGCTGTTTTCTCGTGTTTCCCTTGCTAAGGGCGCTTCAGCTGGCTTTCTGAATCCCTCTTAAAGCATTGGGTGAGCGCGCCTCACACATCCCCGCCACAGCCGCCCCCCGCTTTTTGGCTGACCCTGGCCCTTTGTTTGGGCCACAAAAAGCCACACGGTACCACTGGAAGCCAAAAAAACGTGCTTTGGGTTGGCAACATGCCCAGACCAAATCAAACGACTGGAGTCTCCATGTCCCTTGGAGAATGGGGTCATGGCCCTATGTTTGAAGGGTGCTGGAGTCACTGAGCCTTAAGTACCGCCAGGGTGGTTGCAACAAATAACCAAAACCTTGCATTTGCTTAAGTCCCCTGGAAAGAATAAGCATATTTCCAGTAGTGATAGATTCCAGTTAAAACCAACAGCGAAAAATCACAAATGGGTGTGGCTCAAAATTAAGCAGCTAGGGTTACGCAGGTTTTAGTCTTTGGTCCCATTCACCAGGGTGCCATTTTGGTACACCTATTTGAGCCACAGCCAAATACTCTTCAGCAAATAGAACCGAATCCACCATATCTCCCGCTGAGGTGCATGAACTCCAGGGCCCATCCGGTGGCACGCTCCTCTGGCGCAGCGTCGTCACATTTGGAGATCACCTGCTTAGCCGAGGAAACTCATTGGGGGTGTAAAAGCCGAAGAACCCACTAGCTGAAAACAGTTATACCTAAGGATCTCAATGATTTTTGGGCCCTGAAGATGATTGATTTCAAGGGTCTCTGAAGGGGTCTGGGTTTTCCATTGGAGGGTTGGAGGGGTCATGAGCCTTAGGGTACCAATAATCCATTTGCTTCAGTCCGCTGGAAAGAAAAACAAAAACACATCTTTCCAGTATTCATAGATGACCTTGGATTAAAGGTGAAATGTCATAAGCCCGGATGGCATCCCCAAGCGCAGGGCGGAGCGCTCAGAACGATGCGGAGCTTATTTGGGCAGAGACCCCTTAGCTTTCAGCTGGGCGGGGGCAGGGATACGCTCACTTGCGCGATGCCCGCATTTTTTCTTGAGGGCTGACGCTCCGCAGGGGGAGGTTGGGTAAAGTGAACGCCTCCGGGTTTTTAGGTTGACTCTGTCTGTGGGACCTGAAGTCACAACTGGCCCCCCCAACCCCAACCCCCCCATAGTTTCCCCAAATAAGGCGGCGTTAAACGGTTTTTTGCGGGCGAAGAGGGGGGGGGGAAGGTTTGAAACCTGTGAACTTTGGGATACCAGGGTTTCAACCTCGGATTAAAACGGAGCATGCTGATTTGAAAAGTCCGATGAATTGATCCAGACTCAGCCGAAGTCGACTCCAGCCCTGAGAGCCCATGCGTTTCTGCCGGACACCCCAACACAAACTAGGGCAATTTACATGACTGAATTGTTCGTATTCCCGACTCCACGAACCGCTACATCGTGTTGACAGTCTACATCAAGGTATCCAAAAGATCCCGCAGGCAAGGACCCTCCATGGATAAGCTAGTTCTACAAGGCGAGCAAGGCGAGCTGGCCAACAAATGCTGCCGACATATATTCACTCCTCACACCAAAAGCAGGAAGGACAGACCCGCACGCACCCACTTCACTGGAATTCTTTTCACCACTTGCGCGGGCCGGGCGTCCTGCACACCAGCCGTTGGCCGGACTGCACTTCGCCAACTTCAGCCATGGAGCTATGGAGCTCTCCACTCTGCGTATGTGGACTGGTCCATTTTCCAGTCGTTGCGAAAAAACACGGCCAAACATGGCCACTTGAGCAGCAAGCAAACGCGGAATGGAGCGCCTGGGCGGGCAGACCGTCCTACTTCCGGCAAATCAAGCACCTTCCTCCGGAGGTGTCTGCTGTCCAGCTGTCGCGCTGCAGCTCCACCGCCACCAGCAGCAAGGCAAGCACATCTTCGCCCTCCTGGCGCGCGATGTTCTGGCGACCGCACCCTGGACTCTGTACCGGGACAAAATGACTTGTTTCCCCATGGTTGGAAGGGCTACCGGCTTTTGGTGGGAAATTGAGGTGCAGTTCCCCATATGGATTTCTGCAAAGTGCTTTGGCTTCCCATCAAAACACCTCAAAGGAGGCACCCAGTTGAGTGGCGGTGTCCAGGGAAGGAAACAAAGGGTTCGACTCTCCTGAATCCGCAATGCAGATTCCTCTATGCATGCATTTCAAAGGGGGTCCAGGCAGGTGTTCAGAAGGGTGATCACAGCCCAACTATATTGCGACAAGGCTTTTGTTGCCATAGTTGTCCTAAAGTTGAACTCTCATCCTGCGTGAGCAAACTGTGCAGGTTCAAAAGGTCAGACTGCCCACTCCCGAGCGGGAAACACGTGCCACATTCACCCCTCTCCATGTGTGCCTTGCCCCCACAAATGTCACTCGCATATCTCAGAAACAAATATAAGTTATCACCACCTCTCACCACATATCTGTTATATCATTCTGATGTGTAACCAATATCGCCTTGTTCGATGCTTGTAAATGGGGAAGAACCCGTCCTTTGAGGGCCCGCGACCCCTTCATCCCCAAACCTTTGTCGTTTGGGGTTTTGGTCCTTGAGCTGTAGGCCGGAGAGGTCCATCTTGCTGAGCGCCTGATCCGCTCAGTGGCTTGCCCTCACTGGATAAGTTGTTTCCTTGAAGAGACCTTTGAAACATATTGAAACAATTATATGTATATACTTACATATATACATATATATGCGTATGTGTTGTTTTGTTTTTGTTTTTTGTTTTTCACGCAGAAGGGTGAAAACATGAACTCCATCTAAGGTGTTGAAATGCTTTCCCAAACAAGCAAGTCTTGCAAGGGAGTCGTCTAAATTCAAACCTCTTGCGACTCTTTTTCCCCTGATCCTTGCACAACACATGTGTTGCCCGCAAGATAAGGCAATCCACAACTAGATATGCACGTTGCGACCAGATGCCAACATTTGCAAACATGCAGTTGCCCCGTGCTCCCTTGACTGACCTGCTGAGTTCATCCAGGCCTATCAGTGAGAAAACGCAGAACCACCCCCTCCCGGGAACTTACAAAAATATGTTTCACAAACATGCGCAGCTAAGCTTTTTCGTGTGTTTGATATCGGGGACAGAGCGCCGAACCTTTTGCATGGCATGCAACCTTCCTTGCCGGAGTATCTGGAATGACTCTTGCGAAAATGATGAGAACACCCCCTGCAAATCTGTTTTTTTCTTCAAAAAAAAAAACACCATGGATCAAATTTGTATGTGCAGGGCGCGCTTAACGCCATCCAGCAATTCTGTGCATTAAACAAACAACAAAGAAACGGATAGAATGATGATAACACACACGCAAAGCCAACCTCTGTCTTTCCATGAAATCCGACTTAGTTTTAATGCATTTGCCAAGGTCTTTTGTTTACTGAGGATCTCTTTTGACCGTTTGTCATTCAAGAGCCAAGGTATGCTCAACAAGTGGTGTCTGGCTATTTCGAGTGGGTTTCTGTGGTCGACCTTTGCATTTTAGAAATTTTGGCTCTGTGCTGACAGCGAAGCAACGCAAACGCCTGGAGGAGAATAGAAACTGCCCTAGCCCATAGTCCAAATTCTCCTCACTCTCCTCTGAGCCACGGACACTTGCAGCCTACTCCCACCACAGAATCCTCGTCAATCCCGGCCCAACCCCCCAGCCCTCAACCCCCCCCCTCCCCCAACCCCACCCCTCCACCAATCCCTCCCCCCTCCACCCCCTCCCTCCCCCCCCAGCCCTCGCCTCGGGGGGCGAAATCCTCAAGCCCCGCAGCCGCAGCGCCGAGTTCCCGCTGAGGTCCACCTCCTTCAGCCGCTTCAAGGCGAAGACCTCCTGAGACGTTCCACCGGGTCTGGGTCTCGGTCTGAGTCGGGAACCGCCCCACCCCCCGCCCACCCCCCCGCCCTTTCCAGGGAATCCGTGTGACTGAACCCCAAAAATAAGAGAGCCCTTCGTTCCAATCCGTCATCCCTTTTCCAGGGATTCGTTCCACGGGTCTGTAACTTCCCCATCTCAACCAATAAGAAAACAAGGATCCTTCGGTCCAAAAACCAAACACCCTCAAGAAACGGCTGTGTGAGATTTCCCAAAGGATGCTGGTTTGCTGGGGGAGGGGGTACTTTTTTGGTAGTCGCTCTTTTTAAGGGAACCCCCCTCGGAGAGAACAAAACACTGGAAACAAAGGCACCTCGGAGTGTGTTCCTTTTGGGGCCAGGGCCTAGGGTAAAGCCCGCAGTGGACTTCCATGAGTGAAAGAAGGCACCGTTTGTTGGTCGACTTTTAAGGGAACCCCCCTGAACAAGAAAGGGAAACAGGTACCAGCAGGCGTCCGGGGTTTTATGATTGCACCTCCCCGGGAAAAAGGAGCAAACACAAACAAAAACACACCTCACAAAGAATGTGGCCGTAGTTTTCAACCCAAAAAACAAGGGGCCACATCGTGGCTCGATTGCGCTCAAGGCAGGCAGAGCCAGGTTCTCCGAAACACCAGACGGGTCACTGAGGTTTGTGAAGCCCTTTATCTAGAAGCCAAACAACCATGAGAACTATGGAAGCGCGTGGATGAAACAACGTACAGACACACCCTCATGAATCAACAAGGAGTCTATTCCTTCACACCTGGGCGGCCCGAACAGCACGGGAGCACGGAAGGCTTCTACTTACACCACGATTTGAGTCGCAATCGCAACCGTGAACAAAAGGAGTCAACTCAACATCACATGAAAGAATCAAATGGCGGCCACTTCTCCTTGTGGTTGGTTCTGCTGCCCCATCATAAGGTTCTATATGTAACCAATTTTAACATTGCTTACCCAACCCCCCAGTGGCCATGGAAAAAAACAGGCGCCGCGTTTTGGGCTGTCGTCTATTTTTTAGGGGCACCTGCCTCAAACCAGAAGAAAAACACACGCGCACGCGCACGCCGTGGGCTTCCGAGCCAGGCGCCGCCGCATCGCAGCGGAGCCGGTTCTTGGCCGCCGAGAGCATCTCGAGGCTCAAAAGGCCCAGCAAGGGGCCCAGGTCAGACAGCAGGTTCCTTGGCCCAGGCTATGGGTCAAAGTCCAAATCGGTTAGCCCCGGGTGAACATCCAATCCAACCACTTCAATAGGTTCTATCATGGGTGGTGCACCATTGGTTTTGACCCACAGCCAGATCACCAAAGCTGCGCAAAAGGCTACAAATGCGTTTTTTCTACTCTGCCTCCAGAAAATCATGAGGTAAATTATAATAAGGTCCAGGACAGTTTTATCATCAGCTTCCCTCTGATTTGCTTCCCTCTTGGTGGTTTGGCTTGGTCTGGTGGGATAAGGAGGGGCTTCCCACTCACCCTCTACAAGAAACAGGAATTCAAATCCTGAAACCACAAATCCATCAATTCGGGGTTATCTGAACAGTGGTTCTTATATGGAAAAATCAGCTTGCTCAGCACGATTCTTTAACTCAGCCCAGCCGGAAGAAAAAAAAAAAAAAACATTTCTAGGATTGAAAACCTTGGCATCATGCCAGTAAAAGCTGTCCCTGCTCGGATAACATAAACCATGTAAACTTCGGTGACCCCCCAAAAAAAACAACAACATGGTGGTTGTTCGTTTGATGTTCCGTTAAAACCACCAAACAAGGTGTACCCTCAT